TCACTTCTTCATACCCCTTTTCAGACGATTTACATGAATTAATAAACAAGAATTGTATATGAATCAATAATCACTGTCAGATCTTAGACTACACATACTGGCAAGTTTATTAAGTGGAAAATTGTGTTTATTTTATAGCTTCTGTCTATGTTCAAATGAATTTAAAATTATTTTGAACTGAAAACTTAATTTATTTTAATGTTCAACCTGTAAACAATCACTTTGTTATGTGGTACATGGTTGTTTGTTTCAAATATTTTCTGAAACTGATTTATCTATTATTATTTTTATAATGTGTTGTTGTCTGAAATAAATTAAATTCAGTCATTCATTTATTCATTCTAGGAATGCTAGACTTCTTATCAAAAAGAAAAGCATACAGTGCAACAGGCACTGTGACGTATACTCTTGCTATTATAAGTGACCCCCTATTTTGCTACAAAAAAATATATCTTATTTAACCACAAAGATTACTGACTGACTCATTCAATTGTTACATCAATTACAACAGTCATTTCAGCTGTCAATATTTCTGCCGCCGTACTTTGACTTGAGAAAAAACCCAGCTGTCCAGCCTGGAAGCATCTTTGGAAGCAAAGTCCTCGTCTTCAGCTGGGTATGTGTGGGTATAAACGTGGTCCCCAGTTGCACCTATAAGCACCCAAAACACCACTTATTTATTTTTTTGCCAAAAAAGTTACTGTCAAACGATCCAGACAGTGATGAAAAGAACCATCTCTAATGCAAGTGAACATAACAGTAAACGTAAAATTATCAATGAGTTGAAAATAAAAGTTTAGTACTAAATATTTTCAAATCAAAGATAGAAGACATGATCTAAATGTAAATAGACCTAAAAAGCTTTTTGTTTTGTTTTTATCTCTGAGATGACAGGATAACAAATAAAGTTAAATAAATATTTTTCATCGCCAGTTTTCTCATTTTAAAACTTATTCTGACTTTCTAGCTGATAAAATAATCCACACTTTTCCAGACATACAAGGAACCCTATTACCTACCTTTGGCAAACATTGGGAGGATGTCTGGGCTCCCCCAGCACCAGGTGTTTCTGCTCTCATTAAACACTGAATCAAACTCCACCGGATTCTCCTTCCAACCTGAAAATATGTAAAATAAAATGCAAAATATTATCACAAAGAAAAAATACTGACATTCTAAAAACTTGAATCAAAGGAGGATGAGGAAAATCAAAACATGCACTTACCTTTAGCGACTGCACTGACATCCTCATAAAAGCCTGCTATTAGAGCAACATGACCAGGCCGCGACTCGGTAGGCACATGTGTGTGAGAGACGCCCCAGGTGCCACTCTCCTCAATTATAGATCTAAAGATAAAAACAAGATTAATCCATCCATTCATTTTCCATCACGGGGACGCAAGGGGTGCTGGTGCCTATCTACAGCTGTCTACGGGCGAGAGGCGGGGTACACCATGGACAGGCTGCCAGTCTATAGCAGGGCAACACTGAGGCAAACATGACAAACAACCATCCACACACACACTCACACCCAGCCCCATAACCAGCATTGAGAAAACCGAGGTCATTTCCTCTGTATTTTCTTGTTTTTTTTTTTTATTCAGAGAAATGTCAATATGATGAAAATTGTTCTGACTTTAATTGGTGTAAAGATCAGCATGCATTCTCATTTGTTTTTTTGTTTTTTTTTTAAGTCCACAATCACCTTATAAAATCACGTTATTTTAAAACTAAGCGGAAATTGCATCCGAAATTGCATTCTATCATATCATGCAGCTCCTTTGCGAAAGCCAGCCACTCACGTTCTGAACACTACGACATAGTATAGGCTACCAGTTTTTAGGTGGTGGAATCTGGAAATGTAGAAATCTACACTGAAACAAACTAAACTCAGCTTTGGAAAGCCAACAGGTCAGGGGAAAAGAAAGAGAGAAGGAGATGAGTTCATTTCGCCAGTAAATATATCAGTCAAAGCATGGCTATGCATAGGATGCTCATCGTCCTCAGCAAGCATTTCAATTAACTGTCACTAAGATTTCATTTTACCGTCGGAGCTTACTTAAAACTATTGATGCACACGGGACAAAATAATAGAATGAAATAGTATTACATTTTTATTGAGTGAGCTTAGTTGTGTTGCTCATGGTGCATTATGAAGAATACAGATTTCTGCTTCAGCTATTTTAAAACTATTGATGCACATGGGGAAACATAATGTAGCCTAGGCCTAATCAAACAGCCCATGCACAACATTGTTTTTAAGGTTAGTTAGTTGTGTTGCTCATGGTGCATTATAAACAGTGTTGGGCACGTTACTTTGAAAAAGTAATTAGTTATAGTTACTAGTTACTTCTCCCCAAAAGTAACTGAGTTACTAACTGAGTTACTCCACAATAAAAGTAACTAGTTACTAGTAAAAGTAACTATTGCGTTACTTTTGCGTTTCTCGCCCCCCTAACCCTCACCAGCCAGCCCCCACCTTCTCGCCGTGTGTTTCCAAAGCCAGCTGAATAGAGCGGACGACAAAGACAAGAACCTGCAGAGA